AGATCCACTTGCATCCAATGTGTCTTGCCCTTTTAGGTGCTTCTACAAGAGTCCAAACTGAGTTAGAATAGATAGATCCCATCTCATGATCCATAGCCTCAAGCCATTCCTAAGCATCAACATCTTCTAGTGCCTTGTCATAACTAGTGGGATCATCATCTTTCTCAATGACGACATCCTGACTTCATTCACCCAACAAGAGATATCTTGTTGGTTTACGAATCAATCTCCCACTACGACTCTGATGTACTTGTTGTTGAGCATCTACAGGATGATCCAAGTCTGGTGGGTTAACAATTTTAGGAGGAGGACCCTAATTTATTTCTGGATTAACTATTTGATTTTGTTCTTACACAAGCGGTAACTCCACTTGTTGTTCATCATGCTGAATTTCTGGTTCTGTTTCTGGTTCCTGTGTATGTTCAACTTCAGGCATATTTCCCCTCTTTGAACAAATACAGGAATAAAAGCTGGAACCCCTTGAGGTTGAGGCAAAACTTGATCCGAGTCTAGCTCATCAAGTATTATCGTACTCCTCGGCTTGTGATTTTCCATGTAGTCCTCCTCTAAGAAAGTCGCATGTGTACTCACTAAGACCTTCTTTTCTTTCGGACTATAAAATAACCAGCCTCTGGTTCCTTTAGGATAGCCTATAAATATGCACACTTCTGTACGAGAGTCCATCTTATTTGGCTTCTGTTGTAAGATATGTGTCGGACCACCCCAAATCCGAATATAGTTCAAGCTGGGCTTACACCCTTTCCATAATTCTATTGGTGTCTTTAAAACAGATTTTGATGGAGCCAAGTTCAAAAGGTACATAGCAGTTTCTAAGGCATATCCCCAGAATGAATCAGGCAAAGGTGAATAACTGAGCATCGATCTTGCCATCTCTAAAGGGTTCTATTTCTCCTTTCAGCGACTCCATTCTGCTGGGGTGTCCCAGGAGAAGATAATTGTGAAACTATCCCCTCTTTGGTCAAGTAAGATCTGAACTCGCCAGAACTCTTGGAATTTACCAAAAGCCTCAGACTTATGACGCATCAGGTATATATGTCCAAATCTAGAGTAATCATCAGTAAATGTGATGAAGTACTGATACTCGCCTCTGGCCTGGACATTCATTGGTCCACATACATCAGTATATACCAATTCCAGCTGAAGTCTGGCAAAATTCCCTTTGGTTTTGAAGGACCGCATAGTCATTTTTCCTTCTAAACAATACTCACATACTGGCATAGGTTCAAAGTCCAGGGATTTTAAAATCCCACTTTTCACCAAACCTTGTATCCTATTAAAATTAATATGACCCAATCTCAAATGCCAAAGGTAAGTTTCATTGGAAACTTTTATTTTCTTTGAAGAATGAGTATGCTCATCATCCTCTAATTCAACATGATTAATTTCACAGGGTGCAAGACTAAGGAAATACAGGCCATTTGACAATTCACCGGAACAGATAAGAGAAGATGAACTTCTAATAGTAACTGAGGAATTAAATTGAACTGTCAAACCATGTTTAAACAAACAACTAACATAAATCAAATTCCTCTTAAAATCCGGAATAAACAAACAGTCTTTCAAAACCAAAGTTCTGCAATTATTAAAAGATAAAATAACTTGTCTTACTGCTAGTGTAGACACAAGTTCCCCATTGCCAAGCTTCAACACTCTTTGTCCTTCACTGATCGGCAAGCTATGTTTGAACAACTGCAAAGAGCAACAAACATGGTTAGTGGCTCCTGAATCAATGATCCATATATTATTGTAATTCTCCACTGAACAAGCCTTAATCACAAATAAATTACCTATACCTTGCTGATTCACACGAGGGCAATTTTTCTTCCAATGCCCCTTTTGTCCGCATTTGAAGCACTTGCCTTTCGGCTGCCTCATTGCAACAGGCCTGGCTACTGGAATCCCTGATTTCTTCTTTTTCTTACCCTTAGGTTTCCCCTTAGGTTTACCAGAACTCTCACAACAAAAAATGCACTGCCCTACTTGACCAGAGACTGCTCAGCACTCTCAAGCTCGTGCATCAGCTGAGTGAGATCAAGATTCAACTTGTTCATATTATAGTTCATCTTGAAGTGATTGAAGTAATCAGGGAGTGATTGTAAGAGAAGGTCAACTTTTACTTCTTGTTCAAACCTAACCCCATGATCCTCAACCTTCTTGAAGTTTGCAATCATTGACAAACAATGATCCTGCACACTTCCTCCAGACATTACTGTCTTAGTGACAGCATTCAACGCAATCTGCCTAGCAGAGCTGCTAGACATAGCAAACACGTCATAAAGAGTCTGGAGCATAGCTGCTCCACTCTCAACTATGCTTACCTGCTCCTGAAGGTGATTGGCAAGACTGGCTAAAATGTAACAGGGAACTGCCACATTTGCCTTCTCCCATTTCTCCTTCTCCTGCTGAAATTGGGCCTTTGTTGCCTCAGGCGCATCTTCAGCAGGCTGCGCTGGTATAGGGGTAGTCAGTACAAAGTTAAGCTTTTCATATTGTAGACAATATCAAGATTAGTTTTCCATTGTTTGTAATTGGTACCATCCATAGGTTTTTGGCTCAAAATAGTTGCTAAAGGATTGAATGAAGACATTTTTCTGAAAAAACAATCAAAGCACACTAATTACAAACTAGTATTAACAACAACAAAACAATATCGCTAGTAGATTCTAATAACTACTAATCGTTTATTGTTTAACAATCCATTAGTTATCTTTACAAGGCTTACGATGGGCAAGATACTTGTAAAACTAACATTGTTATTTGGGCCTTTAGTTCCATTGCCAGAGCCTCGATGGGAGGGTTAACAACTTTACCTAAGTTGAATGTATTTAACCATTATTTACTTTCAAAATTATTTTTAGTGTCTAAGTGTTGCCGACGATGGGCCGTACAAAACTTTACTAAAATTTTGAAAATATTAAGGTTTAATCTAGTGAAATCTGATTATCCTTATCCGATGGGGCTTCAGCGATAACCATTCACTAATAAACTCACAATTGGAGCCCTTAGGTTTTTGAAACTTAATTTTAAAAAAAACTTTCACCCATTCAATATTTTAAAATTTTAGAATTTTCCAATTTCCAAGAAATAATTCATTCGAAATTTATTTTGTTTGATTTCAAAACTATGTAAGTAAGTGCGCTGGTAAACGGGCACTTAACTTAACATAATTTTGAAAGCATTAAGGTCCTGAAATCCTGTCACTTTACGTCAGCGTGTGCTTCACACAATCATGATACATGAATGTTGTATGTAGCGTGTGTTATTCCATGACCATTTCAGAAAACCCACAAAAAATTTATTTTCGTCAAACAATTTTCTCTTAGGAAATTATCTTGCCAATTTGTCTTGATTTTAAACTCCAAAAATAATCAATTTGATTATTCTAGATTTTTCCAAAATCATAATAACTAATTAATTTTCGAAATTAATATAACCATTAATCTAGATTTTGTTTCTAAAATCATAATAATCATAATTTTATTTTACCGGAATATTTAAAATCTAAAACTACGTGCATAAAAACTATCATACTAGTCGGTAATGACATAATAGTAAATATGCACGTATGACATGTGATCATGAAACAATATGGCACCTTCCTATCCTATATGACATATTATTGCAAATATCATATTAATCGCACATATAATTCATACCAATCAATAAAAGCTTTAAATAATAAATTCTAATTACTTTAATCAATGGCCTCCTATTTTAAAGAAAATAAAAATATATTACAACTTTGGAATTCGACTTTCGCCTAGTCGATAGTATCTATCTCAAGTTTCCATGGGCCCAATAAGCCGAAAGACCCAATCCTTTGGCGAGAAACCCTAGCCGTCAGGTCTGCTGCGCCGTCACCCGAAGTCAACTCAGGCCGAAACTCCAGGGGAAGGACCGCCACAAAGAAACGAGTGCACCACCGCCGGATACACCCAAAAAGGTGGCCCCATGCTCCCACACGCACTCATGCCTTGCCGGAGAGTGGCAGCCACTCGCAGACGCTTGTGGCGGTGCGTTTAGGCGTGTGGAGGCTCCGGTGGCGGCTATCCACCCACTGTTATGTTCGTCTTTCCGTCCTCTTTCCAACCATATATGTATTGCCTCATTCTGAGCTCGGGATGTCCTCGAAAAGTCTCTAACAAAGCTGACTGTGCATCTTCCTCGCGGTTTCTCGATCTTGAACTTCTACAAAATATTGGAAAAATACACAGAAATTTTGAAAAATAAATAAAAATAGCAAGGAGGAAACCTAATCATATGGGATTAGCCTCCTTGTTACAAATCAAGAAATACACGAGAGACCCTTACTATGGATTAAAGCATTTTTATCGATTAAAATTTAAACTTTTATGAAAAAGAACTATAAAGAATTAACAACATGAATATAAATAACCGATACAGAATAAAGGTGCCATATTTTCAAAAATCACATAGAAAAAATAAATAAATCAAAACTGATCTTAATCCCCATCATAATCCGACTTTGATTACCTGGGGTGAAGTAGCGAGCGTGACAATTTCTCACGTTCATTTCTCCTTCTCAAGCCTCACGATCTGCAGCTACGCTCCACAAGCGGTCACAATTCCGCTCTACGGTTGATCTTCCAGGCCATATGACTCAAGAGGATCAGGGGGTCGTGTGGGCAACCGTTCAGATGATGAACGTCTGCCTCTTTTGTGTGTTTCTGATATCTGTAACCTTATTAGGCACTGGAGAGAAAAGAGAGTTTATATACCCTGCCCAATCCAAAACAAACCCTAAGCTTCATGGGTTAAAATTAGACTTTGGGCTCACTCTCACTAAAGCTATTGCGCTTAAGTGAAAAGAACATATTAAACCCAACAAGATGCAACTAAATTACATAAACGAACTGCACTAATCCAAAATACCTTCTTATTTTCACCTTACTTTTTAGTTATATTTACCACAAAATAGAGCATGATTTAATTCGAGCAACTAAAAATAAAAAAAGATTTACCAAAAAAAAAAGAGGGTCAACTGGTCAAACTTGGGTCAACCGGGTCACCGAGTCTCGGCCGGGTCAACCTGTCCAAATCGAGTTGACTGCAGAACCGATCCAAATGACTGGTTGGACCGAAGAACCCACGGGTCACCGAGATCATGGTCTACCCGACCAGTTAGAGTCGATTTTTAAAACACTACCAGTAAGTAGGGGTGTTAACAGGCCGAGCCGAGCCGAACTTTGGTCTTAAAAGGCTAAGCCTGTGTTTAAATGTCTTAGCCTGACAAAGCTTGTTACCTGTTATGAATATAATTATTGGCCTGTGGCCTGGCTTATTGACGAAAAATAAAAGTCTGGTTTAGCCTGTTTAAAAAAATTAAAACAACAAAAATTTATTCAAACAAAATATATGATCCACAACACTAATAATTTCATAAAGATTCATAAATTCAATGTATATCCAAAAAGCATAATATAGAACAAAATCATTCAAAAAATCTGTTTAACCAATAAAATGTGATGAAATGGGTTGAGGAGAGAGAGATTTCGATTATGAATAGTATAAAATAAAAATAAAAATTAGTATACTAGGCAAGCTTGAGAGGCTCTAAGGTCGAGCTTTTGAATTGAAGCCTGCGGCTTTTTTATTAAACGAGCTTTTATATAAGCTCAAGCCTGATTCCAACAACCAATTTTAGACATGTAAGCATAGGCCTTCACGAGTCGAGCCAAAGGCCCCTGGTTTGTTTAGCACCCCTACCAGTACGTATTATAAATTTAGAACTTATATTAAAAAAAGTTATAAACTTACTCAAATACCTGTAAAAAATGACATTAGTTCCAAATTTTTTAATACATAAGATAATAAATCACATACCATTATCTAACAAAGATCAAACAAACATTTTTGGAATGCTATAATACTACACAACCTATTATCAGAATAAATAAAAATATTCATGTTGTTATCATTTATCAAGTTGAAGATAAACTATTGTTTTGCAACTGTTATTAGATTTCATAACATGTAAAATAAATGTAATTCAAAAAACAATTTATATTTTGTTTAAAAGAAAACAACTCATTCACTTTCCAAGGCAAAGTACTCATTCCACTTTGCAAGAGACTAAGACAATGTAAATGCAATCTAGTACATAATTAATTTTTATTTTATTTTTTAAAATCGGAAATCCTTCCACTTTGATTTTAGGAACCCATCACAATCGAAATCCATGATACTCCCACCCTTATTTGAGCAATACATGTAACATTATCTTCATATGTTGATATTGGTTTTGCCTTAATCATTTAAAGACCATATGTTTCTTCTGTATGTTAAACCATTAATCCTAACCATACACATTCTCTACTAGCTTCATATAATGCAATCAATTAGGGCCTGTTTGGTGTGATGTATAAGGCCTGATAGTATAAACTTATACTATACATTATGACATTTTTAGTTGTTTGGTATGACCATTGTATAGTATAAGCTTATACAGCAAGATCCCTTTATACATCAAAATGATGTATAACTTAATCAGGCCTAGGAGGGTAGGATTAGGCTTGATAAGGGGTTGACATATTAACCAATGCAATTCTCATATTATTTTAATATTAGTATATTAAAAAAATTCAATATATGATTTTTTAAAATATTGGAGATTTTTATTTTTATAAAAATTAATATATTTTTTGGACACACTGATCAACATATTTATATAAAAATTAATATCATTTGATATATTTGGAAGAATTATGTAAATTCATTACTAAAAGGTATTTTTGACAAAAATATTTAGTTTTAACCTATCTAGTATTATACAGTGTATTACAAAACATTGAATGATATTATCTTATACAATATCATGCCAAACGCTAGATAGTACTAAAATTTAATCAGATCTTATACAATCAGGCATTATACTATCAGGTCTTATCCTATACTCTGTACCAAACATGCCCTTATGCATGGTCTGATGGAGTAAGGTTATATCCTACTAACACATTTATAGAAAATATTATATCAAGTCATGTATTGTTAACAAGATACATTCAAACCCCAATTGTATTTAGACATGGTACTTCGAGACGAAGGATTTTTCCATAATTTTTTCAAGAACAGAAAGAATCTTTCTCAAAGTTAAGAGATCAAACATCCATTGTTGAACTCAATGATGAGCTTTGTCCATACGTTTTAACATCTTCTCTATATAATTTGATTGATGAACAAACATTTCATTAGATAAATGCTCGATTTGCAAGTCGAGATAAAGTTTGGTTACTACAAGATGTTTCTTCAAAATCATCCTATAAATATTTTGCAGTTTTCTCAAGCTCTTCAAGAGTTTCAATGATATTTAAATCATCAATATAACCTCAATAATTGTAAATTCATATGTCGACATTTTAATAAAAACATATGGACTAATGGAGTTATTTATAAATACTTCGTTGATATGAAATTCACTAAGATGATTGTCTCATGTTTGTCCATATTATTTTAAGTCATTCAAAGACATTTTAAATCTTATGGAATACAACACTTGAGGTTTTAATTTATATGCTTCAGGCATTTTTGGTCCTTCTAGGACTTATATGTCGCTATCAAATGATTCAT